GGGGGGGGGAGGCAATCTGCTTTTAGAATCATAGAACAAGGCAACTATTTTGAAAATAAAAGAAAAAAAGAAAACAAAATGAAACAAGGTTTATGATTCAGTAGGCAAGTTTTTTGTTTCTTTCTCTTGTATTGTCTTTTTTTTAGTTTTTGTTTTTAAATAATAAATATAGATGTTATGCGCCCGTTTCAGCACAATTTAGGCCATGTAGGAGGCGGGCTTCGACCCTGCTTGTTGAGGGCCAGTGGATTCTGAAAGGTTCAGTTTTAGTAGAGGTTTTACGTCGCTTGCAACTGCATAAGGTCATATGAGCGCTGGCCTGAGAGGAGTGAGATATTCCAGTACAAAGAGTGCGATGCCCGATGAAAATGTTTTCCGCTCGGGAATTGGAGCTCACGTCTTCTGCGTGCGATGGCAAAGTGTCTAACTTCTACACCAAAGGCAATAAGTGATATACACTACCGTTATCGTTTTTTTAATAAAAGATATCATCAATTGTTACAGTACCATTATAATCTTTTTCTAAAGAAATAATATACACTTCCATTTTTATACAATATTTCTTATTTTGTAATAGCAAAACAAAATAATTTTTTGTTTAGTAAGAGTTGTACGGCACTTCCAACACAATAAGGTCACAAAAGTGTCGAAGAGTGGATGTGTTACAAGAGAGTAACATACACACAAAAGGAGAGATAAGGACGATAGATGTTTGATAAGAAAGAAGGAGCAAACCATACCAGAGCACCCGCCAACCACCTACATATAATTACATATATATACATGTTATATATATATTATAGGAAATAATAATCGTAATATGTATGTTATAATATAATATAGTGAAAAGCACATAGATCTTGCTTTCGAGTGGGGACATGCGTTATACAAATGCTATTTATTATTACTTATTATTATTTATGATGTACCACAACTCTCACCGCCATCCCCCCCCTCCCCCCTCCCATCCACTTTTCCAGCCATGAAGATCCACTGCAGCAAAGTTACACGGGACCTCCTGGTGGCACTGCAGAAATACAAGCTGGACAGCCGGGGAGTGATTGACATAAAGGTGAGTGAGGGAGAGAGAGAGGGGGAGGGGAGAGAGGGAGGGAGGGGAGAGATTGACATAAAGGTGAGTGAGGGAGAGAGAGGGGGAGGGTAAAAATTGACATAAAGGTGAGTGAGGGAGAGAGAGGGGGAGGGGAGAGATTGACATAAATGTGAGTGAGGGAGAGAGAGAGGGAGGGAGGGGAGAGAGGGAGGGAGGGGAGAAATTGACATAAAGATGAGTGAGGGAGAGAGAGAGGGAGGGAGGGGAGAGAGGGAGGGAGGGGAGAGATTGACATAAAGGTGAGTGAGGGAGAGAGAGGGGGAGGGTAAAAATTGACATAAAGGTGAGTGAGGGAGAGAGAGGGGGAGGGGAGAGATTGACATAAATGTGAGTGAGGGAGAGAGAGAGGGAGGGAGGGGAGAGAGGGAGGGAGGG